TCTAGACCAATACCCCAACACCTCACTCCCTCTGGTTGCATGCCCTCTTGCTCTTGTAACAGTTACAGAAAAAGAAGGAATGGCAATTTTTGAACCATAGCCACAGCCAACATTTATGGAGCTCTAATAGGTATAGACTTTCATTAGGGTTGAGAGTGACGTGGTTGACAAACAGACATGCCTCTACAGCTGACTGAGAATGAAATCAGAAAAGGAAGGAAAGAGAGAAATCTGAGTTCAGAAGAAGATTTAAAAATAAAATCTGGAAGCATTTTCAGGCAAAAATTCATATCATGCTTTTCCCTTTCTATTTCTCATTTTCATTTCAATTCTTGTATGATAGGTCAAAAGAAGATGGGATTGCGCTCTACTTCTGCACTGCCTGGTGCCTGAGTACCTTTTTGACAACTACTGTTTTACAGTATATTTCTTTTCCCCTTTCCTGTTCTCTCTTGTTACCACCTTATCTCTTATTTTCATATCATGGGTCTTAAATTTATATTTCTAATTTCTATTCCTGTCCTTTTAATTTTTAGTTTCTTCCTCTCTCCCCTTTGGTGTTTCTGATTTTGCCTTTCAAGTGTGTTTGCTTGTTGCTTCTACCTATATCTTTTCTGTGCCTACACTCTTCTCATTTATCTCATATTCCTGTCTGTAATAATATTCTCCTGAATCTAGACCTTCTCAACCACATATCAGAACTGTGGTTGATGAGGTCTAGAAGGTCTCAATGTATTACTGTATTGAGTTAGTTAATTTAATGATGCAAACAACTTCCAAGGTGCTGTATCCATAGGATGGATATGGCTTCCAGGAGGCTACATCAAGCGGTATGTCTATATCCATAGAACTCTCAGGATCAGGGACTAGAAAATCAATATGGGGAATGAGAGATGGCAAACTGAATCCCAGGATGGGATATATCAAACCAGATGAAGGGGATCCCATATTTAAAGAGAACATTGAAGAAAGAATATGACAAATGAATATGTTGAACGCTTGTCTAACTTTATCCCAACTTCATAGTTGGTCCAATAAAAGGTATCACCCTAAGAAATCCTTGGCTATCATATAATTTCTGGATCACCATGGCTACAACATCACTCTTATACTACCACAGCATGGAAGTTATATATTTTGGAGATTGTTTGCATAGATCTGCTTCTCCTTCCTCTTTAAGTCTTCCTAACCTTCCTCTGTATCAAAGTGGTTGAGAACACTGCTTCACTTCAAAGCAATTTGGTTTTAATGAGCACAGCACTTTAAACGTGCACTTTCAAAACAAAAACCATTCCATGAGAGTACATTCAGAGAGGTTTCTTCATTAAACTAAAAACACTTTGAACTGAAATAACATGCTCCAAGATACTTTGATGCCAAGATAGTAGAGTCATCTTCAATCCATATATATGAGGAAGGTGTGGGAGATTAGCCAGATGTTAAATTACTCTGCAGAAGAAATTTAGCGGTGCATGAACATGCCTGCCATGTGTTTACAAGTATTATGTGGTATGTACTTGCATGTTTATAATCTGCAGACTCCTAAATGTACATGCTTTTGAGAAATCCTTCTGTGTAACTATTATAACACTATCAAAAAACTTTTTTTTGGAGGGATACAATTCTTCTCTGTAATACAAACCATATAATTGTTTTCCATAAAATGTTTTTTTCTTAAAAGAAAACATTAGTTAGATACTAGAGTTTCTAGTAAATTAGAGTGAAGCCTACGACAGAAAGAAGAGTCAGGTTTTTATGATATATGTCTCATATATTTGACCTGAATTGCTGTTATGAAAAAGCTGATACCCCTTGTTCTGCATGGAACATTATTGGAGGTTTGTAAACACAGAAACCTTAATGTTATTCCCTGGTAGCAAAATACCTTCAATTTTCAAGTATATTATTTATTTTCTGTTATGATAGGTATGTTTGCACAGTATAAGACATTTGTTTGGTAAAAGCCAAGATTCTGATTTTCAGTAATAAGTGTGAAAAGGAATGTTAAAGTAAATGCTATGTTTTGTTAAGGTATTTTAGCTACTAGCTTGAGTTTTTAAAATTTAGCATCAATGCTAGCTCAATCGCATGGCCTGTAATACTTGTACCCATGAAAAAAACAAAAATAAATAACAGCAGGATATACAGAAACTACACTATAGGTTTATATGAATTTGTTACCACCAGGCATGGTTATTTTTGTGGTTTTGAATATTTGTGGGTGAAAAACTGCATCCACAAATCAGAAATGTAATCAAAACCTGAATCCTCCTGAAAATGGACTCTTAAAACTACTTCTGTACTGTGCTAAATAACTTCCCAGTTAACCAATCTAATTGCTTTATAAACAAACTTTCTTTCTTGTATTATGCATTCAATAATTACTGACCTTAATTGTTAAAATTTTGAATTTGACATAGGTCACAAATTATCAAGTGTACTTTCCGTACCTTATAACTGATGATTACCTTATAATTACATGGTAAAAATAATAGTGTGGCAGATGAATTACAGCAAGCGCATTACAATATCAGGGATTAAAGTAAGGAGGAGTGTACAGGAACTCAACTCATGTGTTGAATTTGCAAGAAGAAGTCTCCTCGACTTGAAGCATTCCCCCTCACTCTAACTGGTGACTGAAGAACCTGAAGTGGGAGCTCCCTGATAGAGGAGCTTCTGGATGTCAGCCAGCCCTTTCCTGATCTTGGTAGAACAGCAGCAGTATCTAATTGGGGAGGAAGGTTTTCTCATTTCTATTTGCATACTCTGTCTATGAAAAGCAGGGTGGGAGACAAATATCACTTCTCTCCCCTCTGTAAGTAAAAGCAGATTGATAACATCTAACAGAGTTTTACTTTAAATCTGAGTTTTGAAATGTCATAAGATATTCAACACAGAGGAAGAGGGCATTGGATAAAAGATAGAAGAAACTCCTCCACATCCTTACGTAAATTTGCCTTTACATCAATAAAGTTTCATCCAACTAGTCAAATGTAATCAATGACATCTGTAGGAATCTACCTTGACTTCTTCCTACACACACTTTTTTTTGGTTAGCTATAGACCTGTTAGGAGTTCTGATATTCATTAGCATATACTTATTTTTGGCCCCTCGTTTTACATATGCTCTACATACTGTTGAAAACCATGATAAGAGCACAAAAGACAAGGCAGTTTCTCATTTTAGTCACTGTGTACCACTACAGCCTCTATGTTCTCCTATGTCTAAATTACATGTTAATTATTTTGGGTTCAATAAAATATTGTTTATAGAATTCTAGTAGTCTAAAGAATTCAGAATTGCAAGTGCAATTGTATATATTTGCCAAATGTCTTGGTAATAATATGAATTGAAAAGCTTTTCTAAATGAAATAAATGTTTTAGAATCTAAAGGAGTAGAACAATATACTTACAGACTTCAATATGTATTTTCAAAGTAGCCGCAGGAACTGGGCCTATAAAAATGGGAAGTGTGCCTGAACACTGGATAACTTGACACATCTTTGTAGCCTAGTGGTAATGTCACTCTTTTCAAAGGCATATTCTTTTTTTGCTTTCTCCCTTGGTACCATGACTCTTGCACAGCAAGTATATTTAGATGTGCAGTGTTCAGCCTGAATCAGGTGCCTAAGTTCTGGAGAGGAACAGGATATCTCTGTCTTTAATATGTCATATTTGATGCACTTAAGCCACCTCTAGGCTTTCTGAATCATACTCTGGTGGTGTTTATATCTACTCATTCTCTGAACAGAACACCTAGACACCTAAACTTGGTCAACTTGGATTGCTCCCTGGAGGTGCTTAAATTTCTCCACTGACTGTAATATCAAGGCCTCTACACCTATTCAAATTGGACTCCTGTCTCAGAGTGAGATGCCTACATTTTAGGCACTGGACTACTTAAAATGCATACAAAATTAAGTTAAATTTATGCTCTGATTTATGCATGCATTCAACTGGGTGCACCTGAAAAAAAATTAAGACATTTGTCAAAGATTGTATACCTACATTTTAATACAGCTTGTAAAACAGTCATCATTCCTTTGCTTATCTAACAAGCCCTATATTCAATAATTGTTTTCTTTTAATTTATTTACTTACTGTATGTGTTGCATACAACAGTTTGTGATGTTACAAGCACATTACTATAGAAAGTGAAAGAAATGTTTTGTTTTCAAAGCCTGCACAGGCATCTCTTGAGAAGGGAAACTCATATGCTGCCCATATTCTTTGGTTGATATAAATGTAAAACTCCTACTGACATCACTGACGGTTTGCATAAAGACGGCAGTATCTGATCTTTATGTAATAAGTAAAGAGAAAGTAGTTTTCACATATACAGTGATTAAAACCTACAGACTGGGTCTGGTAACGTTTTGGCATCTCTTTAAGAAAATGGGTCAGTTTACTTTTACACCCAGATTGATACCTAGGATACTCTGCAAGACATGTATCAGCACCTGCTGTGCATATCAATTGTACACGTGTCTGCACATGAGCACCTATACATGCAACGTGGATTACTGCATGGAGAGATACCATAGACCTGTGAACAAAATCATATCCAATATCCTAATTTGTTGGTAAAGCTTTATACACATTAAATGATAAATATAAATAAGAAATACTCTCTCTATAATTTTGCCTTCATTTAGATTTTTCTTTTCTCATAGGAGCTCAGAGTAATCCAATGGAAATTATTTTGTAGATCAATAAATACTTTGCAGCATAGATGAATTTTTTAGATTCCAAGATAGTATAATTCCATACTGAATAATTTAGGAACTTTACTTTGATATTTTTTCTAATTCTGACTGCTTTTAATATCATTTTATAGGACTGCAAACAGCAATACATAATTCTAAACAGTAATTTAGTCTTAATTATGATATGACCAGTACCCTTCAAATATAAACACGATTGTACTAAAGAAGCCACAACACTATTTTACTATACAATTAGAACAACTGAGCATGAAATTTGTTTATGTATCACTGACCTCTAAGGAACTCATTGATATCGTGGATCCAGTTTCACTTCTTGATAACCCTGCGTTGTCATCTAACTCTGAAGCTATGAAGTTCTTTACAGCTGTGCGGGGCTCAAAGGGCAAATTTTGCATATGTTCCTGCGTGGGAAGATGCTGATCTAAATTTATATTAAATTGGTCCATTACAGAGGCATTCATATTGAATTCTGGGTTAACTTTGTAGTGCAACAGCCTTTCATGAGGCAAGGTATCCATGCCTATATTCATTTTGTTTTCATCTTTCAGTGATGGCTGGGTGCTTACAGAGCCTCTGGGCATAACAATATAGTCACTTTCCATCATTCGGTCTTGAGGATGGACTATGTCCATATCCGCACCTCTCAAGTTATCATCAGTACATAAATAAACAGTCCTCCGCAATTCACTGTTGTCTTTTTTCAAACACTGATTGGCAAGCTCGCTCATACTCATAGGCATATGGAGGCCTGTGGGCTGCTGAATGATGACTTTGGAAATGATGTTTCCAGGCAATGTTGAGTAGCTCATTCCTTCAGGGTTGGCTCCTTTCTCCTCTTCATCATCATTTAGTGATATTCTAGAGAGTGTTCCTGTTATTGTAGCTGCTCTACACGGTCCAATGTCTTTATGTAGAACTGTGAATAAGAGAACAGGATTCTAATAACAAGAAATTAGTTCTGGTTGCTGCTGCTCCTTCGACAGTGTTATGCTTTTGTTTACCCATATTACCTCCATGAGTATGGTTCTGGTTCTCTTTTTCTATCCATTTAATAACTTTGTTTTGTTTCCATACATATGACCTTAAAAGGGGCTTTATTTAATCAGTTTCTTCTAATCTACAGTATGTAACTGACTTGGATCTCTGCCTTAGATTGGATTATTTATATAGATTAAAATCAGTACTTCATTTATTTCTATTTCCTAACATAGCTCTTAGGTAACATACAGTTTAAGCAGAAGTCTGTTATGCGGAGCTTGTTTAAAGCCTTCCAAAAAAATAGTCTTTATGGTATCTGTGCTGTTTTTATCAACTCTCTATAACCCCTTGGTCTACATGTGGCTTGCTTTAAGTGGTGTGACTGTAGATTGGGAGCAGTGTGTACAGGTGTTTGCTGGTGCTGGTAACCTGGGTGGGAGGAAGGGCAGGAGAGATCACTAGAGTCTAGCTGGTCTGGGGGTGGGGGGTGATGGGACTGGGGCAGCAGATCTATGTGGGGGGTGGAGTGGTTGGTGGGTGCACGGGTTGGCGGGGGTGCATTGTTTGTCCAGAGATAGGAAGGATCAGGGAGCTAAAAATAACCAGTCAGGGTTGGAGGTGTAGACAGAATGCAATCCCAGGGCTGAAGCGGGGAATTGGGGTTTCCCAGTCCAGGGACTGTGCTCTGAATGTGTGCAGACATTTGCTAGATAAGGTTAACCCATTTCTACTCAGCTGAACTAGCTTACATTGCGCCCACCATTTTTTCACCTCCTTTAACCTCCTTGAATGTCTGCACAGATGAGCATATGTGTTTTCCTCACTTTGCTCCTAAATGTTCTTTTCCACTCAATTCTGCAACCCTCCTATATTAAATTATTTTGTGAATGCATGTAACACTCAACGAAATAAGACAAGTAAACCTCTTACATCAATGAGATGTATTTCACTGTACCTGAAAAGTCTCTATATTATATAAACATTTATAATAAAACAGCCATTCTCTACTTTCAATGAAGGTCTCTCCGGTCAATGTTATAGCAGTGTTCAATATTTTATGGGGCACAGTTCCATTACAAAAGTTATCAATCTCTTCATTGTCTACAAACCATTCAGGTGCATTAAAATGCCCAATCAAGAGTTGGGAAAAATGTATCCAGCCCTGTAACACTGTCATGAAGGTTTGTTTTTTAAAAAAATGTAAAGACTTGGTCTTAGGACCTGAAGTGTCCACAAAATAAAAAAAAAGCAATTTAAAAAGTAATGCTGGCAGTCTTTTATTTGCATATGACCATTCCCCTCTTTCCTTTTTAAAGGTATGTATTAAAATATAATAGCTCTGGCATGGTCACCCAAATTAGGATCGTGTGGGTTAGATAATGAGAGGTCCAGAATTACCCAAAGTGGTACATTTAGTCCATTTTCTGTATCCTGAGGCTCATGATGCCCCAGATGCTACTGTATGTGTCAGTTCCCTGATATGAAGAATAATAATCCCCTCACTAAAACATCCCATTGTATTAAATCATACATGATTGTGTCTAATTTTTCAATTACAAGAATGAATTATTTGCCTAAAGCAAAGATACGTAAGTGAGAACTTGGGGCTTTTTAATGATCCAATACCATTACATAGCAAAAATGAAAAATAAAAATAAAGTCTATTTTAGGTACTGCAAAGGGGTTATTACACTGTTACTAATCACACATGTCAAGCTACCTCAGCCAGTCACCTACTGTTAAATCTTTCTTTATAAGAAACTGAATTTTAATATCTTAATTCTGCACTGTGAAGCCCACTCATGTTTGCATTAAGAGCATCTTTCTTAAGGGTATCCTCACCATGACTTTCTGTACTGCTTAGCTTACAAATGCATCTACACAGATTAAGACTTTTCACGATGCAAGTGATAGGAATGCATTTATTTCTATATTTCATTGTTTTGCCTCATCCAAAGTACATCAGTAGTAGTAAACATTAGTAAATAAGGAAAAAATATTCATTGTGAAAAATATATCAGAACATTTCCGATGGAATGCAAAGATAATTCATTTTTCTTTTTTTTATATTTAAACTTTGCTGACTGGATAAATTACTGAAGAATAGTGTTTTTAACATGCACAAGCAGAAAGAAGCTGACCCAATTATAATTCAGAGTGCTGAGATGCTGTAGCATAATAATTTGTACCTATAATGTGGAATTAAAAATACATTTTTATTTTCTGCTACTGTGCTGCTTAATCTGCTGTAAACTTTAGATAGATCTTGAGAAAGTTACCCTCTTTAGGACACACACTGATTGATGTTGCCTCTGTATATTGTCTGCATTGATTTAAAAGTGCCCTTTAGAAAACCAATTTTCTGTGCTTTGTTTGCATGGCTGTTTCATATTTTGCATGTTAATGGAGAAGTAATTTTTTTTGTTCGTGTCAAGTTGACAGCACCTGTTTTCTAAGGTACAAAAATACTTGTGGAATGCTTATCAATTAACTGAATTCTATTAAAAGATACTTGGATGATCTTATTTTACAGTGAGAACATTATATCTGTGTAGTGGCATCGCTGCTGTAAAAAAATAAAAGAATTTTTTTTTTGTAATGAGGTAAACCCAGATATTTTTTGTTTCTTTCCTTTATTTCCCAATGACAAGAATGTATCTCTTTCTAATACATACTGTTCCAATACTCTTACCTGACCGACAAGCAATGTCCACATCTTTTTCAAAATCTGTCTGTAACAAGAACAATGAAACAAGACTTTTATTATTAACTAAAAACTAAACTGCAATATTGTCTGCCAACCTATGTTTCCAAATTGTCCTAGTTACAGAGTCATAGTATCTTATAAATGGTTTCCTGTTGCTAGGAAGATGGATTTTATTGTTTTATAACAGTAGAGTAATACAACATTTCCTAAAGTATAACTAGGTTGTTTTCAAAGTATGCTGCCTGACTGGAAAAAAAGTATAAAATAGATGGAAATACTGTATGTAATTTTGGTACGATGATACAGTGTATAATTTCATATTTACTTGAAAGAGAATTTTCTAATATGCCATAGAAGGGTTATTTTAAAGGAAGCTTTTCAAAGTGATTACATAAAGAGGAGAAAAGAACCTGGACCACATATTATCATGAGTAATCTTCATTAAATTAATTGACTATCTGAAATATTCTTATTAAATGTAGTATTTGTTATCTTACATTCTATATATCCCTGCAACTAAAGTAAGCTCATTACCCCCATTAAAGGAGCTATTATTCATCTGAGGGGAAAAAGAGCCTGTCAGATTTAAGAATAAAGCGTGAATACTTAAAAATCCAAGGTCACCCTTCACAGTTATATAAATACTATTTAACTTGGAACAGAGTCTAAGTACATTTCAGTTTTGCCATCATAGTTTGTACAGCTTTATTGATGCGCATATATTAAATAACATAATGATAAATTGTTTCCACATAAAAGGCATTTTTACAAAAAGTTGTTTAATTAAGGCCAACTCTTTCTTGTGGTATCCAAACACTGACTTCCTTTGCTCCAACAGTTCTTTCAAAGGTATTTCTTAGGAGAGCATTGCATCTTCTAGGACCTGGCCATGTTTGTTGAGAAACTCCCAATATCATCAGTGAGGTCAGTTTTTGGCACTACTATACATTAAGGCTCTGTAAAGCTTCAGGTGCTGATTTGATTCAGGGGAGATTTGGCCCAATTTGGTGCCTGAATCTCCAAATCCGAATCAAATCAGGAGACCAATAAAAAGGCCTGAAACTATTTGAAGCCTCTGAATCGATTTGGAAAAGATTTGGAGAAAGATTCAGAGATTCAGTCCTTGCTCACCGT